ACGTTAACCAATGTACGTAGGCGGAGTATGCGCAAGCAGACGCGCTGGCGGACACGAAATCGCGGCCCGTTGCAAACCCTCAGACATACGATGATCGTGACGGTCATCCGACGTGACCGGCACGTGCATTATTGCTATCGAGCGAGTTGGCTCGAAGCCGACAGTCAGAGTAGTGAGGCGTACATTCGACTGCAAGAAAGTAGCTTGGCTTGTCAGGTCCTTGATCAAAGGCTAGGACAAACAGGAGTGAAGTCACTTCAAGTTCAAGCCACGGTTCTCTATGGTATTGGTACCAAGTGAATCGCTGTATCAGATTTCGCATGTTACATAGTAAGCAAGATGTCAATTGAACAGTGGGCTCCTAGCGTCGAGAATCACAAGTAGTGAATCACGGGCTTCGGGTTCCAGTCGGGGAACAGGTGGTTGTCAGTAGGGGAACCGACGGCTCCTCCACCCTTTGCCCAGACGAGGCCCAAGAAGCTTGCGACATCTCGCGGGTTCTTCTTGACCTTCTCCTCAAGCTCCTCTATGGGCGTGTGCCTAACCTGAATCTTCACGCCATGCTTCTTCTCGTATTGAGCAAAGATGTCGTTCAGTGACTATCCGAATGTAAGCAACAGGACGTTTGTAGTTTGCATGCGCGACTTACCGCGTGTTCGCCCTCGATGCGAAAGATCTTGTTCTGGGTCTCCGAAGGGGGGAGCGTCGTGAGCACGTAGGCCAGGTAGCGGCCGATATCAGAGCGGGACGTGAAAGAGGTCGGCGCGCTGCCGTCACCGCCGACACCGACGCTGCCGCTCTTCAAGTCAAGGTCGATGAGAGGATTCCAGATGACATCCGCAAAGCCTCCAGTGAAGAATACGGCCGTAGGAAGGCCAACCTCGTCGCGAATCTTCCGGTTGATTCCTGCCTTTGCCGCGAATAGACCCTCGGTCGCCTTGTCCGTGGGCGAGCCAAACTCTGAGGGCACGAAGAGCTTAGCGCCGGCCTCCTTGGCCGCCTGAGCGATGGGAATCTGGATCCCGTACGCAGAGTGGCCGAGGGTGGAGATGACAACCTCGATGCCAGCAAGGGCCTTGGCTACTTCGGAAGTGGAGGTATAGTCTGCGATCGGGACGATAGTGGCGCCACGAGCGGCGAGCGCGTCGTACTTCGACACGGACTCCTAAACAAAGTAGTTAGACATCGTTGATGTTGAGCACATGGGCGTATACGAACCGGGCGGGTGAGGAGTAGCACTTTGTCAGCTGAACCAGCCGCTTTGACGTTGAGGAGCTCCTCGATGATAGGGAGGCCGAGAGTGCCCGCTCCTACGACGGCGAAGTTCTTGAAACCAGACATGCTTGTGTAGTGAAAGGTTGGTAGACGATCTTGAGATGGTGTTTGGTCCGCTGAGTGGACTCACGGGCTTCTTATATACGCGGCCGTGCACGCAACACAGAGTCAAAGTATTGCGTGGCGCTGTCGGAAGTCGTGCGGGCCATGGCGCGGGGAGGTCCAGACTGACAAAGCCTTATCCTCGACGCGCGACGACGAAGTAATCACGGATAGGCGAAGTCGAGACGACACGGAACGTAGGCCGTTGATTGCGAAGTTGGTGCTGTACTGGCGCTGACAGTACCGAAGCAGGGCCGAACGTGGACCTTGTTCGCTGTCAACACCGTCGCGTACAGAGGTGGGTTGGTCGTCGGAAAGGTCCCCGAGGCTACGCCGAGGCAGCGAAGACGACGCCTGCGCGCGGCGTCGGAGGACCTCGAAGACATCACTGCGCATTGTTTCACGTATGTGCACTGACAACGTCTGTCGCTCTGGCCTATGGGTAGTGATGAGGGCCGAACTGAGCGGGGACGCTCGGCAGTTAACGCCGGACTGAAGCGCTTCAGCGCCGAGCCCTAAGAATAGAGCTCTCTTACGACTAGCAGATGGCTAGGGTCATCTACGCCGTGACGAGATAGAAAGTAGATGTAGTGGCATGGACGAGCGGCGCGCGAGGCCGATCCTCAGCAAATTGATGAGCGCGACACCAGGCAGTCACTCAAGCTCGCAGGTGGGGTTTTGAGCCCGTCCTTGTAATGCGATAAACTCACTCGCTATCACCGGCCCGCCTTTCTTTCTCCCTGTATCCAAGAGCATCAGTCATAGGCGTGGCGTCCCAAGGAAAGAAGTGACACGCACTTCATACAGCACTGATGAACAAAAATCCTGAAGTTGACACCGGCTATTGATGAAGGCGTGTACCCAACTTTCGCGCTCTGACGCTCAGATATGAAGCATTGCTTTGTATTCTTACATTTCATCCCTTCGATAGTACACACGATGGCGCAAGATATCACAAGTAATGAACGATGGGCTTGGGGTTCCACTCGGGGAATAGACCGTTATCGAGAGGAGTACCGACGTCCCCTCCACCAGTCGCCCAAACCAGGTGCAAGAAGCTCGCGATATCCTGCGGATTCTTCTTCACTTTCTCCTTGAGTTCCTCGATCGGCGTGTGCCGAACTTGAAGCTTGACGCCGTGCTTCTTCTCATATTGCGCGAATACATCGTTGAGCGACTACACGGCGGGTTAGGACGGGAACAGCTCGGAACTCGGATTGAGAACTTACTGCATGCTCGCCCTCAATCCGGAAGGTCTTGTTCTTCGACAGCTCGGGAGGATATGTCGAAAGAACGTATGCGATGTAACGACCAATATCGTGGCGCGACGTGAAAGACGCCTTCGCGCTCCCGTCCCCACCAACTCCGACGCTACCGCTCTTCAAGTCCAAGTCGATGAATGGACCCCATGTCACGTCCGCAAAGCCTCCTGTGAAGAATACGGCGGTTGGAAGGCCCACTTCCTCGCGGATCTTCCTGTTCAGCTCTGCCTTCGCCGCATACAGGCCTTCCGTCGCCTTATCCGTAGGCGATCCGAACTCCGATGGCAAAAACAGCTTGACGCCAGCCTCCTTGGCTCCCTTGGCGATAGGGATCTGGAGTTCGAAGCCAGCGCGGCTAATTGTGGAAATGACCACCTCGACGCCGGCGAGAGCCTTGGACACTTCGGAGATGGAGTTGTAGTCTGCGACTGGAGTGATGGTCGCGCCACGAGCGGCGAGGGGGTCGTACTTAGACACAGATTCCTGAAGCGGGAGATTAGCCTTGGTTGTTGTGTGGGGAACGATTGGGTACGAACGGGACGCGTGAGGAGTACGACTTTGTCGATTGAGCCAGTGGACTTAGTGTTGAGCAGCTCTTCGATGACGGGTAGGCCGATAGTACCCGCTCCAACGACAGCAAAGTTCTTGTAGCCAGACATGTTTGAAATTGGATAGTAGAGTATGGAGCGACCGGTTCGCCGACCGAAAGTGCGAGCTTCTTATATGGTATGCAGCATTGCAGGCGTCACTGCGAGCCAAGATGCAGCTGGTATCAGACCACACGGTCGATGTCGTGCTCTTGTGGGACACGTGTTCCAAAGTGACAAAGCATGCACCTTCCTGGTAGGCGGTTGTGCTCGAAGTAGGTAGTCATGATGGGCGTAGAGGAGGCGGATCGAAGTGTCGATCGTTCTAGGCGAACATGATGATATACAAGTGCTGACGCGACCTTATCAATATTTAACCGGGATAACAACCCTTATCACGTCATATTCTAGCTTAAACCCCGTTACCGCACGCAGCTTGCGCAAGAGGTGCCAATACTTTTGCAAGACGGTCGCCATACCTAACCTATATTTCGACTTCGCTTGATACGGATCGTCTTCGAGCCGCGGTCCGAATGTTCTTCCGAACGACATATGGCAGACATTGGGCAGACAGCAGCACTCGTGTATCGTCAGCGGCGCCCGGAATGGCCGTCTACCGAGCATCTTGGTCAGTAGGGTGTTACAATAAGCATGAGTTACTACTATAGTCTATCAAGAGGCCGTGCAAAGTCCATCCCTAGGCTTGACCGAAAAGGTAGGTCAACAACGAAAGATCATGAGCGCTCCTTGCGCTCAGCCTCATCCCGTCCAACAACATCGTACTCAGGCTCACTCTCGCCTTCCTTCTCCGCATCTACCTCTTCTTCGCGCTCGACGGCAACATCAGGTTCGTCTACGACTCTTGCGGCAGAGCGAGCCGAGCTGAGACCAAGGTCTGTCGCATCAGCAGCAGCCAGTTGCTCCGCCATGAGCTCGCGGAAGCGCGAGTTGGGGCGTTTGACGAGCTCGGCGTACGTGCCCATCTCAGATACAACACCATCTTCAACGGTTATCAGCCGCAGTCATGAGTATACAAGATGTAATGTACGTACCCTCCAAAACAACGACGCGCTCAGCGCGTGCGATAGTCGACAGCCGATGAGCAACGATGAGGCAAGTCGTCTTGCCATCGCTCATGACATGATCAATCGCATCGTTGACGCGCCGCTCACTTGCTGCATCCAGCGCGCTCGTCGCCTCATCCAGACACAAGATCTTTGGCTTGCGAAGTAATGCCCGGGCGATAGCCAACCGTTGCCTCTGTCCGCCACTCAGGCTCAGCCTGCCAACTAGGATAGCATATCAGACGCCAGAAGCCTATGAAATTGATGGTGGTACGCACTTGGTGTATCGAACCCATGCGGCAGTCCGAGAATAAACTCGCAGTTCGCAGCGCGTGCGGCAGCCTCGATATCCTCGCGCGGTGCATCGGGCATACCGTATGCGATGTTCGTCGCCACGGTGCCCGTGAAAAGAACGGGGTCTTGAGGGACTACTCCGATGGCGTTGCGCCATGATTCTGGGGTGAACTCACGGATGTCTATAATCGCAATTGGTCAGTCGAGAGCAAGTTTTGGGGCGGACGGGATGAGCGGACCTTGACCGTCGTAGGTGATCTTGCCTTTGATCGGATCGTAGTACCGGAGCAGTAAAGCATTGACAGACGACTTGCCGCTACCGCTCTTACCACTGAAATCTGTGAGGTTAGAATCCGGGCATGTACACGAGCAAACACAAACGTACACGATGGCAACCGACTCTCCGACAGTAACATCCAGCTGGAAGTCACGAAGAACCTCAATGCTCAAGCGGCTCCTACAGGTTACATAAAATTCAGCACTGGATGGCATGTAAGACCGAACGCATATACGCACGGGTACGAGAAGCCGACATTCTCGAAACGGAGAACGCCGGTGCGCCAGTGGGGCAACACCACACCCACACCGGGTGGAATGGCCGGTCTCCTGTCGAGGAGCTCGAAGATGCGTTGTCCCGCTCCGATACCGCGCATGATGGAAGACTGCACCACAAAGCATGAGCACATATGCATGGGGTGGTAGCACAGACACGCACGAAGAATCCGCTGCATGGCACAGAGTCAATGAGAGTATAACAACGCCACAAAGATTGGACATACGTAAGCATTTGCAGGCCCGATCCCACGTAGACCGAATACATGAGCAGACTCGTTAGGTCGCCGACCGTGATCATGCCTTGGCTGACAAGCGACCCTCCATAACCGAGTAAAGCCAGTAAAGCCACGTTTCCGGACCAGCCCGTGGATCCAAAGAAGATCCCACTAGCAATAGCCTCTTTCCTCGCAAGCTCCAGCACGCGCTTAACGCGCTCCGAGAACTTCTGCTCTTCGTACGGCGCAGCGTTGGACACTTGGACTGTGCGTAGTGCGGAGAGGGCTTCGGAAGCCACTTTGGACATCTCGCCGACGGCTTCTTGGGTCCTATGAGAGAGCTTCTTGAGGTAGCGGCCATAGAAGACCTACCAAGAACGGACGGCGTCCATCAGCATGTATGCTTTAGACTACGCGGAGACGTGAACTTACTGCACCAAACGAGATCGGGGGCACAAGCGCCAACACGAGAAGTGTCAGATGCGGGGAAACGTAGAACATCGCGCCGACTATCCGAGCGGACTTGTAAGTCGATAGTGCGGCTCCGAGATGGAAGTCGGATACTCACAGCCTGCAAACGACTGGACGGTAGCTCGCAAACCGTCCGAGAGGTTCTGAGTTACGCTCTCGCCCACGATCGAACTGTCGACGTTGAGCCTCGACAAAGCATCGCCCTCTCCACGCTCAACGTATTCGACCTCTTGCCGCAGAGTCGCCGCGTAGGTTCGCTCCCGGAGGCGGGCAACGATCCGTTGACCTAGGTTAAATATCAAGTTTCAGCGAACTGAGTCCAATACTCGAGAGAAGCAGGAGATTGGGTTGGGACGGAGAGGTTGAATAATGCTTCTGGCGAGATCCACGCCGAGTCCATCTCATGCTCACCAGACATCTTCATGAGAAAAGCCCTCCCCGCATTCGCCGCGCCTCCAACCGTGAATATCACAAACAAGATGGCAGAAGCCTCGTATATTGATAGTCCATAAGGTATTGACTGATCACACGCAATAAGCACAACTTCAACCGCATACACGCTAGTGCGTACGCACAGGATTTGGGGTTGAGAAGTAGTCGATGAGGCGTCCCACGGTGAAGGGAATGGAGAGCGAGACGGTCGACGAGATCAGCAGCAGCCCCACAGCGGCCAGCAAAGGTTTCTTTTCTGGTTTGGCGAGCGATACGATCTTCTTGAATGATGCTGCAGAGCTATTCGGGTCATCGGCAGATCCCGAGCGGAAGAATGGAAGCCGGGACAGGAGAGATGTCCGTGCGGGCTCCGAGCGTGCCGGTGAGCTCTTATTCTCCTCACGACGTGGCGCGAGTTGCGAGAATAGTCGTAACTGCGACGATAGTGTATTATGTTGCCATGGATCGTGTCCCCGAGCGCGAGGAATGTGTCTGAGAGGATCAAGGCGCTGAAACGGCTGACGGACCCGCGTTGTACGCGCAAAGAGCAAGCATGCCGGCCGCAGAGAGTTCATAGGCCGTCGCGAGCAATAAAAGTGGAGTAGGGAGTGTTCAAGACCTGTGACAAGGCATTCGAGAACAGCGAATAGTGGTGGCGGGAAACAAGCAGCGCGTGTGCCTCGGCGCCGGCGGAGCGCGTCACTCAAGCTCGGTCATTCGCGACGCGTTGCGGCGCGGTGGGACGCGATCAGGTGTTTTCATTCACCGTTCACGATGTACTGCCCATCTGTGGCGCTGGGCTAGGCGGGAGAAGGCACATTATACAGTGATATGATACAATGAGGGCCGACATCGAAGAATTAAATACAACCGGGAACAGTAAGTAATACATATGTCAGGCCCGAAGCGGAAAATATCCTTCTAGACTAATATACAGACGTCGATCATCCAACGAAAGCGTTTGGAAGCCGCAGAGCAAGCCGTGAATGTGCAAGAGCGAACAAAGACCCAGAGGAAATTCAGACCGACGACGCCCCCTACCACTCCAGCACTCGCAAGTCACCGCAGACAAAGCAGTTTCCGACCCCCGTCGCCAGCATCTGCGCCCGAGCCTGCAAACGCCGATAGAACTTGGCGCTATCATGGGCGTCTAGCTCCTTCTCCAACATCCCGTATTCCTCCAATTCCCTCACGAGTTTGATGACAAACGCCACAGACGACCAACTCTCCTCCCCCCAATCTCCCTTTTGTGGCTCCGCGTTGAACCGTTGCAGTACCGCATCGACATCTTCGAGTGACACGCCCTGAGTGATGGATGATAATAGCAATGCGCCGACGAAGTATGGCTGGAACGTGAGCATGTGTGCGTGTGCGTGCTCGAGATGGTAGCGTCGTGATGGCGCGTCGCTGTGGTGGGTGGCGTGGGCAGGGTTCTCGGCGATGCGGTACAGGTTCACGATGCGCGTCGGCGGGCCGGACGACACGGCGAGTGCAGCGTGCCACGACAGTGTGTCCCCAGCGCCCCGCCCGTATATGGCAATGGACGCGTGTGCCCGTGGTACGGTCTCGGATATTGGCGTCCGATCCATGGCGGGCAACTCGTACAAGAGATCGAGCGTCTGCTTCTGCGCGATTTGCTGCATCTCCAGGCTCCTCCGCTTGTGTTGCAGATGGTCTGGGAGAAGGTCGAATACAGGAACGCGCATGGCAAATACAAGTGGGCGCTTCTCGTTGGGTTTGCGCGCGTGATGACGAGGGGCCAGATCGCACTCGCCGGCTTTAGAACGGCAGTCTTAGATCGCTCGAGTGAAAGTACTTATAGTACGCGCGCCCCTTTGCTCCAGAGGAGACGTCTCGTAAGGTGTCACAGGTAGGTTCAGAACCCTTGGACAGGAGCCACACCTTGGAGTGCGATGGATTGGAGTAACAAAGGGACAGCTGGCACTTACCGGTACCGGACAGCCACCGTACGAGGATCCTGATGGACGCCGCTCTGGGCGCTGACATGAACAACAATTGGATGTGATTGGGAAGCAAGATTTAGGTCATGACAGGTCGTAAGCACATATGAGACTGTAGCAGAAGGCGATGTGAGTCCGGGATTAAACTAGTAGGGGGAGTATAGGGAGGTATCAGGGGACGTCCGTACGAGCGCAATTCATTTCGACCAACAGGCTTCACATAGATTTGCATTCTACATGGCACATGGGGAGGGTATCATTGCGCGGTTGCTCTTCTTTGACGCGTCTAGACGCGGTCTCTTCTCATTCAACGAGACGTTTGCGTTCAATACGTGTCGTATTTGCTGCTGTAACAAGGGTCAGCACACAATCACCGCGGTTCTTTGAGTATAGAGTACGTACCGGAATCCGCAGCATCTGCAAACCTTCGCGGAGATAGCGATGAGCGCTATCCACGAGCACACCATACCCGCCAGAACCATCCATACTCCGGGTCCCCAGTTCACAGCGAGGTCCACGGACGAGACAGCCTTCAACCGGTCCCGCGCGATAAGCACCAATGCAAGGTCTGCGGCGAATACGACGGCCGATACAACCGAGGTGAGGATCGAGAGGATGAGCGAAAGGATCCATGGACCGTTGTGGAAACGGAGACAGCCGAGGAAGATGGGGAGCGCAGTTAACAGTGCAAGGCCTGCAGCTATGGGGTGCAGTACCAGCAATACAGTGACACCCTTGAGGACAATATCGATATCCTCATTCTGTCCGATGATAAGCTGGAATAGCTCGGAGTTTAGCGTGTATCCGAGTTGCGGGCCTTGGCAATCGCCGTTGTTCGTGAATACACCTGCCGGCACTACTGCACTGTACGGAAGTCAGTACAGACGAATGCTTAGAGCAACATGTGTGAGACGTACCTATTGACGCAGAATCCCCACACCTTCCATGAAAGTACAATCAGTATAGTTCAGTACGTGGCACTTCAACCCAACTCACCCCGAACCGTAAACTTGTTCCGATACTCGAATTGATGATTTGAACGGTGGTAGCCTCCAACTCCAGCAGATATATGCTCTTGATAATGGGCAAACTGAGCGCCACGAGCAGCAGGAGCACGAAAGCAGAAAATAAGAAGAAGCCGGTCGTAAAAGACAAGCGACGGTGCGCGCGTCGAGCACCGGTCTCATAGCCCGCGCCGTACGCTTGCTGTCCGCCAAATCTGACTGTACGCATCGTAGACGAAGGGTGGGGTGGGTCGTTACGGTGGTAGGATGGCCTCGCGAGAGTCAGAGAGAGCGGCGAGGACTAGCGCGAGGGACAGGGCGTTGGGTTAAATGGGCCACTTGGACGAGGAACGACGTCAAGAGCAGGTCCTCGTGTTGTGCGCGCACAGCTTCACATAAAATATTCTGCCAAGCCCACTTTTCTCGCGCGATCCTTGTCCTCGTTCCCATGACGCCCACAGTCCGCCCCAATCTAGAAATCGCGCTACGACTCACGGCTCGCAAACACTAGGTGAAGTACACGAGGCTCTCAACGAGAGACCGTCAAAGTACAGCTGAATACTTGTTCAACTCGCGCATGCTAAGCATGATAGATTTTGATGGGTCGATCAGTTCGTGTCATGCTGCGGTTGAGGCACACGCTGGCCTGGGCACGCCGCGTGTTGCACAGCCAACACTGATACAGCTGTCTCATGTGAGTTTGGGAAAACGCGCGTCGTGCCGAAAAATAAATAATTCGAACCCGCGCGAGCTCGCCCGCGCGCGCGGCGCGCAGTGAGCTGGTTTGACCCCGTATACTACGTCCCCCTACCTGTACTGCTTCAAAGCTTTGTACTATCAGACACCTGATATATCCGGTGGAAACAGAAAGAGTCTCTAGCGAAATCTAGCCACATGCGCGTGATGTATCGTTGACCAACCTCGGACATCGTCACCCAAGCTCCGCTCGGTCCTGCTTCGCGGTACGAGCTGGTACAAGCTGGATCGCGGCTCAGTAAGTACCGCATGGCCTTCTAGAAGGCTGGACCGTAGATGGCGCTTGATCGCCGCTACGTGTGATGCGAGGGAGCTTCGCCGCAGGGCTCGTTGTCGGTGACGCCCAGGGTCGACGCACCGATGCCCGCACCATTCTGGAGAAGACGCAAACTGCACAGAGGGGAGCTGGATAGGAAATAGCTGGTGCGTATTCATTACATAGTATACACCCCACCTTCCCCAGTGATGCTTCATTGTGCCTTCGGTCTACAGTCACTGACAACTGTCCTAGCTACTACCGTTTTACAGACACATTCTATACATCATCTCTCGCCCTGGGACCATTTAGCCCAGCCTTATTGCAACCGTCTCGCCCATGCCATAGCCCTCCCTTACAGCGTGCTCATCGTGTCGCCGGACTCCCTGGTTGATCCTCGATGCACCCCGACAGCCCTCTCTTCCATCTCCCCCTTGTGCACCCGTCAACGGAAGTCTGCTCACGCTGCTCGATGGAGCCCTATTCAGATGAGGCTGAGCCGCTCTGAAGCGAAGGCATGGCCCGCTACATAATGCTCGTTGGCACAGGCTGCAAGCGCGCCCCGCACTCGCAGATGTCGTACAGACCACTCAGAGTCAATTTTCAGTATCTACGTAGCATACTGTTGTACTTTCGTGACAATAGTGACAATGTACTGCCATAATGCTCGGTTTTACAGCCGGTGACGACTGGAGCGCGCGCGCGAGCTCGCGCGGGTCCGAGTTATTTATTTTTCAGTGCGACGCGCGTTTTCCCAAACTCACATGAGACAGCTGTAACCATACGACTCCACTTGGACCCATCTGCGTCCCGCGCACGTCGCACGGATCCGCCGCCACAACTCGTTCGGGCGGTTGTCGAGCGGGTGCGGGACGCTGTGGCAGCCCGCAGCCCCCAACCCAACAAAAAGGGTCGCCGCATGTTCATTTTCATGTTTGAGGGAGCGCAGCTCCGTCCTTAGACTGCGATACGACGAGTAAGTATACTCAGCGGAAAGTCGAGTCTTCCGGAATGGTGTCTTCCGTCTGCAGGTTTCAAGGAGTTCCCACCGAGAAATACATAACAGGGTCGAGAGTGATCATTGCGGATCGAGATGCCCATGAAATCAGTGTGCCAACATCATCAGAGGACCACCCAAATGCTTGACTAGCGCTTGGAAAGCACGCCAAGCGCCTGAGCACCGTCAAGCGCGTCAAGCACTCTCAAGCACGTCCACACGTGACGTGCTCAAAATAACCTCGAAGCTCGGAATGCTTGCTAGTGCCTCGGACCTTCCCGAAAAAAACGGAATGTATTCAGACGTGCTGATAGTTAGTCTCTCAGTTTTTCTCGGCTGCCCGTATGGTGCGGATGAAGTGCTACGCCAGGTCGGAGCAAGAACGCGGCCGTTGCCGAGCTTCGCCTCGTGGCGGCGACCTCCAGCAAAATCCTCGACTTTACTCAATAATCCGCCAGAATTTCCCCACAAAATTTGGTTCGCTGGAATGCTGGCTGCGATCGGCATCGCCCAGAGACAAGAAATACGAGGGGAGGGGCGTGGTGAAGAAAACATCATTTCAGGTCATTTCGGCGAGGCGGCGTTGTGACGTCGCGTGTGGCCCGCTTGGGTGCGCTTGCGAGTGCTTGCGAGTGCTTGACGCTGCTTGACGGTGCTCGGGCGCTTGGCGTGCTTTCCAAGCGCTAGTCAAGCATTTGGGTGGTCCTCTGATGATGGGCTGCTGTCGTAGTATCCATCCAAGACACAGATGCTCGTCTGATCGCCGTCACATTCTGCAGAGCGCATACGACATCTCTCATCCTCGCCTCCATGCTGACATACCCACCCCAATTCGACCTGCCCGTCGAGTGAGAATCCGCCACGGGAGTTCGCATGTACTCGGTAGAAGACCGCGTCCGGGTCAACTAAGCTCGAAATCAGCCAGATAGTCTACGAATACGACCGCCGGCAACCGACAGCCGTCTCTCGTACACACAGTTCAACCCCACAAGAAGGTTCGGCGACGATGATCGAGAAGTTGTAGGCGGCCGTGGTTGTGTACACACAGGAGCTTATGAACGAACGAATCACCCGTGACAAGACGTTTTGGGACGTATACTCTCTGGAGAAGTACGTGTTGTGGCTCAGAGACAAAGCCTACGCACACGACACGGTCCGATGTCCGCCGACTGGAGGCAGATAGGTGATGGTTGCGCAGAGCACGACATAGGGCACATTGGAGATTATGAAGCATACGAAGCTCTTGGCCACCTGCAACACGACACTTTCGGTACTGTATTCTCTAAGAGGGTCCGAGAATAGAGCATGTCGAGGCACCGGGTAAGACGATATGCATGGAGACACCCGGAAGTCGCCGCCTCGTCGATAGTGAAGTCGAGGCTCATAGGCGATCCCGGCGCAGGGCGTGAAAAAGGCGTGAAGAAGCTGCGTCTACCACAATGCGCCATCGACAAGAGCCTCATGTCGTCGAGAAGGGCTTCTCGGCGTAAGGGAGCAGGCAACCAGCAGCCATCGGCTCAGGGCTCAGCATCTCATACGTCCATATAAGTACGATGGTTTGAACAGGTGTCCGATCAAGCGTGCTCAGAACCGTATATAGCACTTCTCATTATGAACGTTCTGGGGTCCGCACGTAAAGTCGGGCTGTATCTTTACCTAATGAACAGGTTAGTCGCCGGGTGTGGCGTACGCGTGGGACCGGTCCAGACCTTCTTCTGGCGATCTTGATGTAGGCTTGGGTTGGTGTCTATGGGTCCGACAATCCAGCTGGACGACAGGGCTTTGACAGAGCCCGATACGTCGGAAAGGTGACCTCCGATGAACTCGCCTCTCTTGGCATAGAACGTTTGTAGTGGTTACTGGCCATTGCATGCGGAACGCAACTAGAAGACATGGGGTCCAAGTGCAGCCGAAACGCGATGACAGTCTCAAGACTAGTTGCCGGAGAATCAGCGGCCCGACGTTGGTGATCAAGCGCTGTCGAGCGGCGCGCGCCCCGTACAAATTGTAGACCAACTGACGCTCAAAAGAAAGCCGTACTGCGAATGACCCTGCTTTGCCATTGCACCCCGTGTTGACAATCTGCTCCTATAGCTCTCGCCCCTTTCCGTTTCACTCCGAGAAAAATCGACGTAATGTCAATTAGCACTACTCAATGACTGCGATAGCTTATAGAGCGAACAATGCTGTCTATGTACAGGAAGAAGGGAAAGAGTGACTTTTGAGCGGCCGTGGGAACAATGTCAACGCGCATCAGCTCGTCGGATTGACCTTGGCTTGAACGCGTTGTACTGCCTCAACCACCGGCTGGAAATAGT